ATAACATTCAACTTGGCAGACTTGTCTTCATCAGATGTCAGAGCTGAGACCACTTTGAAGAGAGAGATTTGGGGTAACTCCTATTAAGTAGGCATGGCGTCTTCAGACATGTAGAGAATAACTTGATAATTGCTGGATGGAATTTGGATTGTCCTTTGGTAACAAACTGTTCTCTAAGAGAAACATTTATACTTTTCAGTTTTCATAGGGTTTTGTGACCTTTTAAGTTTGCTTTGGGATTCTAGCTTTCTAGTTCAAATTTAGCAGTTCACAAATTTAGCTCTTCACAAAGCAAAGGAGGCCCAGCAAGTTAAAAATGGTTCTGATTATATTACAAAGCTTAGTGTTTTTACTTTTATTTAGCTATTTGTATTTCCATGTTTACCATGGCATAATTCATCAATTTCAAGACATTTCAATCATATTTTAATACCATCTTAATATCATCGATAACAGGTTATGTTAGTATTATATGACATAATGCAATATGTGTCAATGTAGCCGAGTCTCTATTCCTCTCACTTAGTATTGGCCTGAAATCAAGGTGGAATTTTGGCTTATATATCCATCTCCAAAGTTAATAATATAAAAAGGTTAGTTGGGATATTTGTGATCTTTAAGGAGATTCCAGCTTAGATATGCTCTAGGGTTTAGTCTGGGTGCAAAGCTGAGGTGATGAAGGGACATATAGAGAGTTCGCTTTTGCTCCAGTTTTCATTTTACCTCGGGTGTCTCAGGGTGACCCTCCTGGGCTGTGTTCTCACTGCCGAGTAGTGATGATACTGGTGAGGAGCCTTCCACGTGCCCAGGCCTCAGGCTCACACTCCTCCAGGGGTCGCGCTCGCGTCGCCTGCCGCCTTGCACGCCTGCCGCCTTGCACGCTCACCAGTGGACTTCATTTCTTCCAAAAGGAGTTCAGGTTGTCGTCGTTCGGGTTGTTCTTTCTGTTCCATCACGTCATGTCACTGACAGTGCATCATGTGCAGAGGGGCAGCAGCGCCAGCATTTTGTTCTGCTTTGATAGCCTTCCTGGCGATGTGTGCCCCTACGAGTGTGTGTGTCTGTGCACTCCCACACCCAAAAAAGCTCTTTCAAGTCATGTGCAAAGGCCCTGTGATGCAACCGGTCACTGAGAAGTAGGATCCCTATGCAGCTGAGGAAATAGATGAAGGCAGTGTGTTTGGAGCAGAGAATGTGGGCAGACCTGGGGGCCATACCCTTTGGGCCATCTTGATGACCTCTGCCCGCATTCTGAGAGCAAAGAGAATCCTCTGGAAGTGTTTCCTTTAGTTTTGTCTTGTCTTGGATTGACTTTTAAAATGATCACTGCTGAGAGACTGTTTTTTTTTTTGTGGGTGTTGGGGCAAGGAAATATACTAAGGAACCTAACTTCATAAATGGGTAAGAATGAAAGCCTGAGTGGATGGGAGCTAAGAAAATTAGTGGTTGTGGGAGTAGGCTGCTTTGAAAATGTTTATTGTCCATGGAAAAAATGGATCCCTGACCCATTTTTAGCCTCATCTTACTCTCCAGGTCCCTCAAACAGCTCTTCTCAAATTTTCACTTGTATTACCTCCAAGGTAATCTGGATTCAGGTCAGCATTTCCACTGGTGTCAGTGAGTACTGCTTTGAGTCTTGCTTCTCCTTATACTCAACCTCTTTCTCAAGCTTTGTCAGAAATCCACTTTCTCTTCTATTTTATTTTTTAAAGGTTTATTTATGCATATAAAACTGGAGTACAGGCCAGAGGTGCAGGGGTGGTGAGAGGCTTCATCATACACAGAGCAGGAGCAGAACAGGTTGACTGATGAAGTACACTGCTGAGGGGAACAGCGGATGGGCCAGGAGAGGTCTGTTGAGCCATGTGGGTCACCTCCAGGGGTGGGAATCAGACTCATGCTGAAGTGGCTTTAGCTTCTTAGTGCTGTGTTTTAACCCTGCACCACCAGGGAGGGCCTCTTTCCACTCTGTTACCCATGCTACTCACTCAGCTTGCCCCACCTATTGCCCCAAGTTTGCTAAGATCCGAAGATGCAAGCTTCACTGGTTTAGCTTCCTTATCTCTCGCAGTTATTGTTCTCACTGTCACTACCTTCTTTTGACTGGGCTGCTACTTACCTCTTTGTGCTTCAGTTAAAAAATGGGGACTGTAATGCCTACCTTGAAATTTTGTTGAGTATTAATTTAATCGAATATGTAATTTTAATAGAATGTGTAAAACATGTAGCATAACACATTCTATTAGCAAATGGACATCATGGCCCCTTGTTTCCATCTCATTAATCCATCTCCCTGACTCCAAGTTTTAGCCACTTTTTCATCTTTATTTCTGTTTCCTGAGTGGTCCCATTGCTTATAGTCAAAATTCCTTTAAGGTCTCAGTCCAGCCCCGAAATCTAGTTTCATTCCTTAAGATTTCTTCATATCTTTCAAGTCTTACAAGTCTTTCTTCTTAATCCTGGCTCTACAGACTGCTGGATGTCCTTTGAAAGCCCTATATTTGGATTTTTTTTTTAAATCAGAATACCTTAGCCTCTGATTTTGTTTTTCCAAATAAGTCAAACATTTGCTATATATTTGGTAGAATCACTGTGTATGCATGCACACAGACAGGCACACAAATCTGTGCGTGTATAGCAAGTGCGTGTACCTCGGGGGTGGCTGACCATGACCGGGTGGCACAGATGGGCTCTGGAGCTGCGGATTTTCTTGTGAAGTGCGTAGCAAATGAGGAAAGCATTTCTTTTCAAAGAATTCCAAGAATTTGGGCCAGTTGTTTGGGTAATGTCTTACTAAAGGCTATGAAGTTACAGAGCTGATACTGCTGTGATCTTAAGCCAAAATCTTGTGTGGTTGCTTATGGTTTTTTTTTCCCCCTAAAAGGGTGTTGAATCCTTAACGAGGAACACCACTCTCCCACCGCCCTTGGAAACCTAGAACTTAGTTATAGTACATTTAAGTGGGTGGGTGGGTGTGGGTGGGTGTGTTCATATGTTAAGGGAAATGGGGGTTTAAATAGATTGTTTCTACCATGTATAGAGGCCTGGATCTGAACTCAGTTAAGGTGATTCTATGAGAAGAGTTGATAAAACTCACCCAGAACCTTTGTCTTCTAATAGAATTAAGATTTTTTTTAAGATCTATTTTTATTCATGTAAGAATAGGGTGCAGCCAGAGGTGGGTGGTGAAAGGATTCACCAGAGACAAAGTGGGGAGCAGAACAGGCAGATCTACTGAAATACACTGCTGAGGGGAGCCGCAGGTGAGCAGAGGTCTGCTATGCCATGTGGGTCAGCCCTCTGGCCGGGGGGGTGTATGTATTGCTGCAGTGGCTGGTGATGACTTGATAGCACTGAGCCTCCAGGGAGACCCTAAAATTTAAAGAATTTACATGTATGGTCATCTAGCAGAATTAGAGCATTAGCATGCGGCAAGTGGCAAGCACTTTATATACCTTATGTCACATAATACCTTAAAATCCTTAGGATATAAGTAGGCATTTGTAGATGAGAAAACTGAACACCAGTAGGCTATTTGCCGAAGATGCAAAGTGTGTTAGACTTTAAGTTATGAGACTGTCCCTCAAACAGCAGTGGCTGAGAAACAGTATGTACCTTGGCTTTTCTCAGCTTGAGTTTTTTCACGTCGATTACCCTCCAGACCTTGCACTATTTATTTACTCTAGGCAGTTTGGGGAGGACAGGTGATGGCTTGGTGCCATGTATGTGTTCATTCTGGAGTCTGTTCTTTCCCATTTTCTTCCTCAACAATCATTTAAATACCATCATAGCCATAAGAATATGCAGCTTTCTGTTACAGGGTTTTGAAGTGTCTCCTTGTAACAGAAAGCAAATATTTAATAGGGAAGTGAAATTCATAGCAGATAGATGCATTATCCTTGTACATTATTATCTGTATCTGGAGGCTACTGTAGTTTAGAGTCACAGAGTCAGTGCCATGAGTTCAGGGTTGCAGTAGCAGTGTAACATCAGCTGCAACCTCTAACATTTGTTGAGCTGTTATGTGCATGTATCTGTGTATTGTGTGTGTTATATTTGGTGAAAAGTTTTTAAGTTTTCTTAAAAAAAGATTTGATGGGCCCTCCCTGGTGGCGCAGCGGGTTGAAGCACAGCACTGAGAATCCAAAGCCGCTTCTGCATGAGTTCGATTCTCGCCTGCCCCGGAGGCGACCACGTGGCGAGGCAGACCTCTCCTGACCTGCCCACTGCTCCCCTCAGCAGTGTACGCATTGATCTGCCTGTTCTGCTCCCCAATCTGTCTCGGGTGAAGCCTCTCACCGCCCCTGAGCCGCTGGCCTGTACCCCAGTTCTGTATGCAAAAATAAATCTTAAAAAAAAAAAAAAGATTTGGTTATTTCATGCATACAGAGAGCTGGGGTGTAGGCCAGGAGTGTGGGGGTGGGGAGAGGATTTACCAGAGACAGAGTGGGGAGCAGAACAGGCCAAATAACTGTAAGTACATGACTGAAATGTTTCTCAGTACCGAACTATTATGTCTTTTCTTGGGATTGGGACTTGCTGCACTTTTTGTAACAGCTTATCGTCAGAATAAAAATGACAAGTTCTGGTGGGGTTACAGCTAAGTTGTTTGATTTACTGAGGTGTCTTCAAGAAACTAAAGCTGTCCTGTTTGTGTTATTAGCAATAAAATTTTAAATACTAAAATATGAAAATGCAAGTTGCAGTGAGGTGCTTTAATTTATTCTGCAGGATTTCACCAACCATTGTGGAAATTCATGTTTAAATAGTGGGTTAAGTTGTTTTGGATTATAGCAGATAGACTTTTTAAAAAAAAGTAGGTAAAGCAAATATCTTTTCTATTAGTAAGTTGTGTTAATGAATTATAAAATTGTATTTTGCAGGAAGAAAGCTTGACCTAACATTTTTATTGGCTAAGAAGTAATACTACATAATGTGTTCTTATGCCTTTAAGTTAAACAGAGTATCTACCCCCCCCCCATTTTTTTCCCCTCCTTCAGTTCTTCACCAAAGAACATGGATGAAAATGAAAGCAACCAATCCTTAATGACAAACAGCCAGTATCCTAAAGAAGCAGTAAGGAAACGCAGTAATTCAACACGCAATTCTGGAGGAAGTGATTCTTCTAGATTTTCCAGGAAAAGTTTCAAGTTGGATTATAGACTAGAGGAAGATGTAACTAAGTCAGAGAAAGGAAAGGATGGGAGATTTGTGAATCCATGGCCGACATGGAAAAGTCCTTCCATCACCAATGTTCTCAGATGGCTGATAATGGAAAAAGATCACAGCGGGGTTCCATGTTCCAAAGAGGTAATGTTTGACTTTTTAAGTGCTGTGTATTTGCTCTTTATTTATGTTGCTACACTTTGCTCTAAACTAGATTATGACATTCAGTCAGGCATAGGGCTGGCTTCTGGGGAGAAAGTAAATAAGGTCCCCTCAAGTACGTAGTCAGCAGCAAAAGCACCTCTATGAACAACCTACTGACCTGGCGGTAACTAGACCTACAAGTAGAGAAACAGATAATTCTGCCCAATGAGGCTGGAAATAAAGGCTTCAGAGAGGCAATGATATTTGAGCTAGAAAGATGTGTGATGGCGTAAATCACAGTGACAGGAAGGTAGGTGGTATGTTACGGAAAGCAGTAATTGATGTGTGGAATATGGCTTCCATAAGGACTAGGGAAGGGCCTGGAGCACTTGGTGTTTCACCAGGTGATAAGGCTGGCAAGGCTGTAAAAGACTCTTCAGCTAGCCTTTCCAACTTTTACATTTTGCCTACAGGTTACTCTCCTTTAATTATGCTAGTTTTATTGAGATGTGTCAATAATTGGCATGAAATTTATTCGATGAATGAGACTGTGCTGTCAGGAGTTGGTGGTTCCCAAATGCAGCAGCAACTATCTCTCGCCCTTCTAGCCTTTGTTCCTGCTCTCTGTTCTCACCCTCTGTCCTGCCAGGCTTTGCGTGGTGGTGAGGTAAGGAAGCTGCCACTGGCGCTGGGGGAAGGAAGGGAAGAGTGAGTGGTCATCCTGAAGGCTGGATCTGCGACAGGGACTGATGGGGACTGGGTTAGAAATGCTGGGGGGGGGGGGTTTTTCTTTTGGGGGTTTTCTTCCCCCCCCCAAATGATAGGGTTTTTTTTTTATGCCCCCGATAGCATTTTGTCCATAATATTGATTGTAGTTAATATCATTACTTAGTGTGAATAACTTTTAGGAATCTTTTAGAATGTGGCAGATTTAGTTAATAAACATTGTATATTTCAACATGGAGAAGGACAAGAAAATTATTTTTCCTTTTTTTTTTTTCCTCTCCTGGAGAACCCAATATGTAGAAAAAAACGAGATTGAGCTGTGAGAAGTTAGGGCAAGAGTTCAAGGCGGGCAGAGTATCCACTGGGGGGAACCTCTCCTGTTTTTTGAGTCACCACTAAATATACAGAGGGAGCAATCAGTTTTGTTTCAATTCAGAAAGAAGTGAGTCACTGCATGAAAGTGGGAAGACCTCTCTACACCAGAAACTGAGCTGAGTGTCTGAGGTCTTGCCAGGCCAGTTGTCTTGATGCTCTTTTGGAGCTTTTGCAACTGACAAATGCCTGGACTCAACAGAAATAAGGATCTGGTGTGTAGGCCAGAGGTGTGGGTTGAAGAGGATTCAACGGAGAAAGTAGGGAGCAGAATAGGTGGGTTTACTGAAATATACTGCCAAGGGGATCCGGGGGTGAGAAAGGGGAGGTCTGCTGTGCCTGCCCATGGGGGTCAGCTCCCTGCCATGGCAGGGATCATATGCCGCAGGGGCTGGCAATAATTTGATAACACTGAGACTTTAACCCCTGTACCACCAGAGAAGCCCCAAAGTGTCAGCTTTTTTTTTTTTTTT